TTGTTATTGATCAGTGTTAGTTAGAGGATGATCTGTATTATTAGGTGATCAGTGTTGGTTAGGAGGATGATCATTAATGAGGTATTGATCCTCGGTGTTGGTTAAGAGGATCTTATTTAATGGAATTACATTGATCAGTGTTGGTTAGAGGAGGAGGATGCCTGTATTAATGGGGTGATGATCCAGTGTTAGTTGAAGAGGAGGATGATCTGATCTGTATTAATGGGGTATTGATCAGTGTTAGTTAGAGGAGGAGGATCTGTATTAATGGGGGTATTGATCAGTGTTAGTTAGAGGAGGATGATCTGTATTAATGTGGACTGAAAAGTAGTTGAGGAGGATGATCTGTACTAATGGTATGAATCAGTAAGAAGAGTGGAGGATGATCTGGTATTAATGGGGGTATTGACTGTTAGTTAGAGGAGGATGATCTGTATTAATGGGGTATTGATCAGTGTTAGTTAGAGGAGGATGATCTGCATTAATGGGGCATTGATCAGTGTTAGTTAGAGGAGGATGATCTGTATTAATGGGGATTGACTGGTGTTGAAGTTAGAGGAGGATGATCTGTATTAATGGGGTGATGATCAGTGTTAGTTAGAGGAGGATGATCTGTATTAATGGGGTATTGACTAGTGTTAGTTAGAGGAGGATGATCTGTATTAATGGGGTTGACTAAAAGGAAGGAGGAGGATGATCTGGTAATGGGGTATTGACTGCGAGTTAGAGGAGGAGGATCTGTATTAATGGGGTATTGATCAGTGTTAGTTAGAGGAGGATGATCTGTATTAATGGGGTATTGATCAGTGTTAGTTAGAGGAGGATGATCTGTATTAATGGGGTATTGATCAGTGTTAGTTAGAGGAGGATGATCTGTATTAATGGGGTTGATTAAAAGAAGTAGAGGAGGATGATCTGTATTAATGTTGGATCAAGTGAAGGAGAGGAGATCTGTATTAATGGGGGTATTGATCAGAAGAAGTTAGAGAGGGATGATCTGTATAAGTATTGATCAGTGTTAGTTAGGAGAGGATGATCTGGTACATGCATTGATCAGTGTTATTAGAGGAGGAGGATCTGGTATTGGGGTATTGATCAGTATTTGTTTAGGAGGAGGATCATTATCGGGTATTATCATGAAGTTAGAGGAGGACGATCTGTATTACTGTGGGGGGGGTGTGGGTTTGGGGGTTGGGGTGTTTTGGGTTGATCAAAGAAGTTAGAGGGGATGATCTGTATTAATGGCTGATCATGTTAGTGTGAGGATGATTGATTAATGGGTATTGATCAAAGAAGGAGGATGATGTATTAATGGTATTGATCATGTTAGTTAGAGGAGGATGATCTGTATTAATGGGGTATTGATCAGCAAGAAGAGGATTTACGATCTGTATTAATGATTAATCAAAGAATAGAGGATGATATCCATTAATGGTATTGATGGGTTAGAGGAGGATGATTCGGTATTATGGGGCTGACGGTTAGTTGGTGGTTTGGTGCAAGGTTAGAGTGAGGATGTCTTTTGGGGTATTGATCAGTTAGTTAGATGGATGATCTGTATTAATGGGTATTGATCAGTGTTAGTTAGAGGATGATGCCGTATTATATTGATCAGTGTTAGTAGAGGAGGATGATCTGTATTAATGAGGTGATGATCAGTGTTAGTTAGAGGATGATCTTACTGTATTAATGGGGTATTGATCAGTGTTAGTTAGAGGAGGAGGATCTGTATTAATGGGGTATTGATCAGTGTTAGTTAGAGGAGGAGGATCTGTATTAATGGGGTGATGATCAGTGTTAGTTAGAGGAGGATCTGTATTAATGGGGTATTGATCAGTGTTAGTTAGAGGAGGATGATCTGTATTAATGGGGTATTGATCAGTGTTAGTTAGAGGATGATCTGTATTAATGGGGGTGATGATCGAGTGTTAGTTGAGGAGGATGATCTGTATTAATGGGGTATTGATCAGTGTTAGTTAGAGGAGGATGATCTTGTATTAATGGGGTGTTGATCAGTGTTGGTTAGAGGAGGATGATCTGTATTAATGAAATTGATCAGTGTTAGTTAGAGGAGGAGGATCTGTATTCATGGGGTATTGATCAGTGTTGGTTAGGGGAAGTGATCTGTATTAATGGGGTATTGATCCAGTGTTAGTTAGAGGAGGAGGATCTTATTAATGGGGGTATTGATCAGTGTTAGTTAGAGGATGATCTGTATTAATGGGGTATTGATCAGTGTTAGTTGAGGAGGATGATCTGTATTAATGGGGTATTGATCAGTGTTTAGTTGAGGAGGATGATCTGTATTAATGGGGTATTGATCAGTGTTAGTTAAGAGGAGGATGATCTGTATTAGTAGAATTATTGATCAGTGTTAGTTAGAGGATGATCTGTATTAATGGGTGATCGAGTGTTGGTTAGAGGAGGATGATCTGTATTAGTAGAGTGATGATCAGTGTTAGTTAGAGGAGGATGATCTGTATTAATGGGGTATTGATCAGTGTTGGTTAGAGGAGGATGATCTGTATTAATGGGGAACGTGATCAGTGTTAGTTAGAGGATGATCTGTAATGGGGTATTGATCAGTGTTAGTTAGAGGGATGATCTGTATTAATGGGGTGATGATCCAGTGTTGGTTAGAGAGGATGATCTGTAATGGGGTATTGATCAGTGTTAGTTGGGGAGGATGATCTGTATTAATGGGGTATTGATCAGTGTTAGTTAGAGGATGATCTGTATTAATGAAATTGATCAGTGTTAGTTAGAGGAGGATGATCTGTATTAATGGGGTATTTTCCTGATTGAATACGGTACACCTTTGCCGTTCACCATTTTTTTTTTGCAACCCCCTACGTCCTTGTGTAAGGTGAAGCGCAGAAGTGTTTACAGCGCCCAACGGGGAAGCGTGCTAAGTTCGCGCTTGCCTTTATGTCTCGTGAGTTAAGGGCGTAGAAGCCTGAAGAGTCGATGGTTTATGTCTAAGCAAGTTATTGGAAGCTCCAACAACTTTTCCTGAATACGAATTCGCAACTTTCGATTTACGGCAGGTACCTACTTTGCTGCTAGGTGAACGGGGACCAAGGGAGGCTGGGAAGTGTGTCTGAACATCTTTCCACCAGCCTGGGAATCGAACCTGCGACATCTCGCTTGCGAGGCAAGAGCGGTACCGCTCTACCCACCTGCACCCCTAATTTAACGAGTTTGTGATTCGTGATTTCGACGATTCTCGGTAAGCAGATGGTGGCTATCTTGCAAGCCTTTTCCGCAGCACAACAAGTTAACCCATGCAGCATCTTGTGTTATATTCTCAAAACTTTAGTGTTTCTGTGTGAAATGGCCCCTAAAAGACTGCCTAGCGTCAATGCTAGTGGAATGAAATGTAAAAGGCAGAAGTCAGTGATGACCCTGACAAAGAAAATTTTACTATTAGATAACTTAAAAGAGGGGATAAGTGCTGCCGTGGCTGGTCAGTTGTTTGGTATAGGTACAGTAAGTCCTCGTATAACGCTGTGCCGCTTAACGAAAATTGAGGTTTTAAACCGTTTTGAGAGGGAGGAGGAGCCACCCGCCGGGTCTCAGTGAATTGCTACCCTCCTCCTCCTCTCCCAACATACTCCTCCCCTCCCACCATCTGCGCCCACCGCAAACTTGCTCTACCACCTCCGCCCATCGGTGAGTACCAACAGAGAGTCCCTCAACACGTGATGATGAGGAAGACTTCAACTTCTTGTGGGTTGCGATTATTGTGTCGGTGCTGCTGATGAGTCTCCTCGTTGTATGTCTCGGCTTCTGCCTCAAGAAGCGACAACAGGCTGGAGCAAAAAACCGCTTCTCTCTCCAGCAGAACACCAACGAGACGTCCGTAAAACACCACTCATCAGCAGGTTCTTCCTCGTGCTCCATCCATATGGGTAACACGAGTGGAGGACTTCCAAGGTCGTGTAATCCGCCTTCACGTCCTTCTTTGCCTCCTCCCTGTGTGCCACCGCCTCTTTCCACATCCCAAGGGAAGCCCCAACTCCAGCTGCCACCAGGGGTTACGGAAGGAGGTGTGCAGCATAAGGACAACGTTAAACGGGGCGTGACAGATGAAAATGATTATTGCAACGCTTTCTTTGATCTAGATGCGGGGAATCAACTTGAGAAAGAAAAGGAGGAAGGGATGAAAAAAACGAGAGAATGGGAGAAGGAAGAGGGTGAGGGAAACTTATTCAATTATAAGTCTGACAACTCCTTATGTAAACGATTCAATGAAAATGAGGAAATATGATCAGAGAATAACTGAGAAGATAAAAAAGAAAACTAGAAAGGTTTGAGTGTGTGGAAGGTCTAGGCCCAGGGCAACAACTTGTGACCATTCATGTAATACTAAGTCGAGTGTCCTTACCTGGAGCTGGCGGATGCTCGCCCCACAAGGGGTCACAGCTCAAGGCTGAATAAGCCGCAGGTCCAGAAAACTGTGAGGGCAAACTTTTTCGGAGTGAGAATTGTGAACTCTTGGAACAATCTGTCAGAAAGTGTTGTGACGGCACCGGGTGTGAACTCTTTTAAGACCAGACTTAACCAACACTGGAGCAGGTTCAAGTACATTCAGGAGCCGGTCCATGCCCAGTACTTGCCAACAGTGCATAACAGAAACGTGACCCATCGCTGAAGCGGCTAATGAGCCGATCAGTGGTGAAGAGGATAAAGCAATACAAACTTAGTAGCTGTATATGCATGCACTATTTTCTATAGAAATGGCAGTGATTTTCTGTATATGTAATGTATTTCATGGGGCAAAGGGAGGCTCAGGAATGTAACTCCCGCATTTTATCTATTATGTGGAAAATTGATAAGCTTAACATTGTTTTGTATAACGTCGTGTTTTCAGGAACGTAATCCCGACATTAAGCGAGGACTTACTGTATACAGTAGTGCACTTAAGTAGTATAAGTTGCTATTAGCGGTTTTGCCTATTCGTGCCCTTTCTTGTAACCTATTTCTCCATAATGGCAAGGGTTTACTGTACTGTACTGTACTGCATATTACCCTCTATAAATTATTTGTTTGTCATCTGAACATCACCTTAAATATTATTCATTCTTTTGTATTTTTTTAAGGGAGATATTTGAAAAAATGAAGATGATATATGAAAAGGATTTCAAGAATTACCCACTTGCTTATGACTCAGAAAGGAATGCATACAGTGTGGGTGTCATCCCTGCTCTTCAAACTCCTGATTGCCAGAGTACTTATGAGGCGAGTATTTATTAAATATGTAGAAATGTGATTTGGAAATATCTAATGATATAATGTGTGTTGCTAGCAATCGGTTTGAGTAAAGATTCTCAATATTTTTCCTTCTCCAATTGTTCAGAAATTTATTACAGTTATAGGCTCTGTACATGCATGATGAATCCAAAATTGCATTTCAGTAAGTTGTGACCTAAACTGCTATATATGTAAATACACAGTAGGTTATGAAGGTGTGCATGCTGGAAAAGTCTTTGGTACAAGGAATACTTAAGTGTCACAATAATGCAGCTCACAGCCTGGGGGACTGAGACACGTACCAACACTGCACACCTCTTCTTGTGGCGCTATCCTTCCCAACATTTCTGGGGACGTAAATTTTTTTCACATTCTTTATGAATGATTGTGTGTGCATGTAATAGTATGAAAAAAATTATTTACCCGAAAAGGCAAATTGAAAAATAACTCACGCAGCTCATGGCTTGACTGTGATCCCACCTACTTCCACGATCCACACCAAATCTGGGGACATTTTTTTTATTTACACTATGATTTTGACTATCTGCTATTGATTTCTTTTATTTATCTAGTTTTTCACGTTCTGTATGAAATTTTAATCATTATAACAGCAGGATATAAAACATAATGTACAGTAAAAACACCATAATTCTTACCCCGTGGTGAGCCTGTGTCGAAAGCAGCTGCTTCTCGCCCTGTGGCACATCATTCCTCTCTACCTGCCTCTGATATGAAGCCAGTGTAGTACCGTTGTGGCCAGTTGTCAATTCTCTTTAGTTGTCTATTATCTCTTTGTATGGGCACACAAACGTACGTACATGTAGATACCTTCACTCAGGAATGAGGTTGGATAGAAACTCACGATGTGCTTCCTGTATATATTGTGGTACAGTGCAGTACTTAGGAGTGAGTAGGTGAGGAGCTGAGAGAGATGTTGCTGGTCCAGTAGCTGAGTGTAGGATGATCTCCCTGGGCAGGCGTAGCCGTATTTATACAATTTACCAGGATCAGGATCTGGGCTGCGCGTAGCGAGCGGACCAATCACAGCGGCTCAAGCGTAAGGTGTGAAACGCTCTGATCCTGAACTGGAGGTTGATGGTCGAGACTAGGTCGGCGATCGTACCCCTACGTCCTCTGCATAGACCTAGTCTCTCGGCGTAGCTGGCTGTACGCTGATTGGCTCGGAGTGCGGCCGGAGCTCAGTTGGGAGTTGTAGGGGAGAGTACACCAGTAATAAGAGCTCCCATCCATCCGCTCGAGTTGCCAATGCAGGTAGGATGCTGTCGGAGCAAACAACCTCGACGATATCCACCCTGCTTTGGATGCCTGGGGACATTAGGGACCATTGCACCACTGGGAGACTGCGTTGGCCTACTTCTGCATTGGCCACACGACGGACTCATGGTTTTTTTAATGGAGAGGGTGCCCCCGTCCCATTGACTGTTCAACACCTCCTGGTGGAGTGCCCTAGCCTCGGAGATCTTTCGTCGGAAGCATCTCTCCCAGTGCCAGGGGGAAGATGAGTCTTACGATCTGTCTTTGGTGCTGGGGGAGGGAGTGAGTAGCATGGGAGGGGACGTCCTTTCCTTCCTGGAGGAAGCTGGTGTTCTGCACAAGCTTTGAGTTTCATCTATTAACGTTTAAATGTTTTTTACAAAAGTTTTATGCTACTGTTTATTATTTATGTTTCTTACCTTGCAATGCTTGATATTAGTCTTAAGCTTTTATTTTAAATTCAACGACATATTACCCACGCTGTTGCTTTGCAAGGGATGAAATTACCACAAACAATCAATCAATTGTATCCCTCATATTCAAAATCGCTCATAATTCGTAATGTTTTGCTATTAAAATTGTTTGTGACAGTTCGACTTCTATCATTCATATACCCTTGAGTTTTAATATCTAAACTCTGTAATTTTCCATATATGTCCAAAATTTTATGAACACACCCAGGCACAGAGGCTTTGTCATTCTAATTTATCTGTTGTTTGGTTTTTCACCAAAGATTGACCTTGAGGAATCAGATGGCAAGAGGACACAATACAAAATGTCACTAATGGTGAGACATCGTGCCAACCTCCAGGAACTTACGGAGGCACTTAACTGCTCTGCTCATGAACAGAAGACACTTCCATTAAACATATTTCAGGTTAATATAAGTTACCTAGTTTTTATATATTTTTTCAGGGGTGGATCCAGGGGGGGTCCTGGGGGTCTGGACCCCCCTTTTCATCAGAAAATTTGAATACTTATTCTTTAACACAGTACTGTACTCAGGCATTTTTGTATAGTAAAATGTAATTACTTGTACTATTGACCTCAGAATATTTCCTAATATCAAGTGAACATGGTTTCAAAATGGCTTCAAAATGCCCATGACATTGGTCAGATTTAAAAAACAAAATCGGTGGGGGGGGGCTTACATTATCCCCAAAAAACCCTCCAGCCGGGTGAGCTTGCTGTGTTCGCCATGTTCCCCCCACACAAAACTGGATCCGCCCTTATTTTTTGTTTTTGCCTAATCTACATGGTTAGATTTTGACAGACCCTACAAATTTGTAAATATTAACAATAATAAATCAGTGGCATCTATGTAGAAAATGGGTTATGATCCATGGTCCCAAAATGGTATACTGAAATTCATTTTAATAAAAAAAAGACCTTTTTCAGGTGAAATATGTTGAGTGCAATGAAAACTTAATTATCAGGGATCTAATAATATTTATGCAGTTTGACCAAGGGTAGCTGACAAAAGCAATCAAAAGGTTATTTTGAGTAGGGACCATCATTTCTAATGTGTTCAGATTTTTTCTGTCTCACACTACTGACAGGTGTCTGTGTCATTGTCAGTATCTTCCAATGATGGAAAAAGAAAAAATGCCTATATTATTGTTTTTCGTTTATATAACAAAGCACAAGATAAAAGTTACCCAAAACACTAGCTACTCAATATAAGGACAAGTCCCTGACCTGTTGGTAAAATATTAGGACGTGTGTAGTGAACCTTGTTTGGTTGAGCCATGAGATCCAAAGTAGATTAGGGTAAGGCTTCTGAAATATACACGACAGGAAAAAATGTGTATCAGTCATATGTATTTATGAAAATACATATGGGTATTAATGGAAAATATGTAGTGAGGACAGCCTATACAGTACAGTACAGTAAAACTGATATGTATAACACATTACAAGAAACTTTCAAGATAAATTTTTGATGGAGATGGATGTCACTGGCCCAGTAATGGTATACTGTATATGAATCCTGATATACAGTATATAATGTTAACAATTTGGGTTAATTTAGATATTAACTTTATCTTGTTTGTTTTCTTGAGTATTTTACAGATGGTTGAAGTAATGTTTCGTCATTATCGGGCCATTAAGTATGAATTGGTTGGTCGTCGTAACTTCTACTCAGCAGGAGGAGAGTTTGGAACGCCATATCCAATTGGATGTGGCAAGGAAGGTGTGACTGGTTTTTTTGGGTCGATGAGGCCTGCATCTTGGAAGGATGGATCTCTCTTACTGAATATTGATGGTATGATTGTACGAGTATATACATGTTTGTCTTGTAATGTGTCAGTCTTGTTGATATATAGCACATTTGCTTAAGATTTAGTTTTGTAATTACTGAATATCATGTATTTCTTTATACAGTAGTCAGAAAATATGAAATTATTGATTGATTATAAAATTTCATTAGCTCTAAATCTACTAAATCGCTTAGTTTGCTTGTTATTAAAACATTTTATCTCTATTTTTAGTTGCACACACAGCATTCTATAAAGAACAACCTCTTCTGAACTTTATTCAAGACTTCATGAATTTTAGGGAAGATGATTTTCATAGACCATTAGAGCCATTTAAACGATCAAAACTTTTGCAAGAACTAAGAAATATTAGGGTAAGTGCAGTCTTATGTATATTAGAAGCAAATACGGTGGTCCCTTGGTTAACGAACACAATTCGTTCCAGAGGGTCATTCGTCAACCGAAAATTTCGTTAACCGAATCCATTGTTTCAATGGGATATTGGGTAATTGGTTCCAGCTCACCGAAATGTGCATACAAAGTAAAAAAAAAATGCAGTAAAGTACACTTACTTTGAGGTGTGTATGTAGAAGGTTCCTGGATGATGATGATGGGAATTAGAAGTGGGGGTGGATGAGAAGGGAGAAGAGAAGTAAGTGCGGATGGAGGAGAAATCATCTTTCAGGGACCCATGCTTGATGCAATCATTTCACCAATAAAATTATAAGTTCACTAGGTGTAATTCAAAATTATTTTATTTAAATCAACACTGCACTGCGCTATATATTATCAATGCGTTAACTAAATTTCAGAATGATCAATAATTTCAATGTAAAAATGCAAAAATATTCAAGACACCAACAAAATAGATGTTCACTCCACTGTCAACAAAGCCAAACTGACGCCTAGTGGCTGAGTCAAGCGGCTGATGGGCGCACAAAACACTAGTTCCCTGTACTGCATATATTATCAATATGTTGACTAAATTTTAAAATGACTAATAATTTTAATATAAAAAATGCAAAAATATTAAAGAGCACAACTTTCTTGATATTTACTCCACTGGAAACGAATGTAAACATAGAAGAGATTATTGAATTGGCAGACTAGCCCATCAGGTATTCTCTATAAAAGCATTTTATATTTGTTCTTAAGGACCGTTAATTGAGGTTTGTTGGGTTAACAAATTAAAGATCTTATATGATATTATTAGTTGGCAAAATTTCGTTAATCCGAACCATTTGTTAACTCCGAGGACCACTGTGTGTGTGTGTATATATATATATATGTGTGTGTGTGTGTGTGTGTGTGTGTGTGTGTGTGTGTGTGTGTGTGTGTGTGTGTGACTGAA